CCCTCTATGAGGTGGACTGATTCAGTGACAGGGGTAATCGGGATGGGTGTGTCGGAGGCAGTACAACTTGCACAGGATACAGCAGCGTTTAGGCCTATTGTACATAGGGACACTAGGAGTTGCAAGCGACTCGACGGCACATAACAACAACAACAACATATATATAGATATATGTGTGTGTCTATATAAGTACAGACACACACACACACACACACACACATAAAATATGAATAGGAAATTAACTGGGTGATATCACAACAGAACCAACTAAATTAAAAAGAGAAACTACAGAATGCTAAAAGGAACTGCATTTCTAACAGATCAAAAAACCTGAAAACAATGGACAAATTTCTAGAAATATACAACCTACCTACACTACAATAAACTTGAGGTTGAAAATGCTAACAGACCCCATGGGATGGGGTGGAGGGTGGGGATGAACTGAACAGCCCATTAAAAAACAAACAAACAAAAACCAAAACCACAAAAGCACACTCTTTGCCTCCTAAGTAGTACTGGCACGGATAACATCACTGGGAAATTCAACCAAACATTCAGAGAACTAATGTGAATCCCACTCAAACTCTTACAAAGCAGTAAAAGATGGCTTACTCCTAAATATATTTAAAGAACCAAGTATAACCCTGATAAAAACACCATGAAAAAAGAAAATTACAGACCACTATCTCTCATAACCAGAGGGGCAAAACTTCTCTACAAAATCCTAGCCAATGGATCCAATACCATTGCAAAGAAATATATTAGGTTTAAGTGATATTCATACCAGGTATGCAAAGATGGTACAACAATAGAAAAATAACCAATGCCATTTGTTACATAAATTAAATAAAGAAATAACCCAAATGATCAGATGAGTTTGTACAGCAAAGATGTGATAAAATCTAACATACATTATTGGTGTAAACTTTCACAGGACAGAACAGGGTTCAGATATGTTGTTCATAGAGGCGTTATGGGTTGTACTTGATGACACGTAACAATAACAAAATAGGAACAGAAAGAGAAATTCCTCAAGCTAAATTAGAGCATACATGGATCTGAAAGTTGGACAATGACTAAGGATGACAGAAGAACCATGAATGCTTTTGAGTTGTGGTGTTGCAAAGAGTAATGAATATCACACAGACTGCCAAGAAAGCAAAAAAGTCTGTGTTTGAGAAAGTTAAACCAAGGTGCTCCTAAAAGGAAAGCATGGTCAAATCCTAGCCAAAGGCAGTGAGACAGAAAAAGAAAAAAAAAAAGGGCATACAAACGTAAAAGGAAAAACAAATCTACTGTTTATAGAGAGTATGATCTTATAGATAAAAATTCCAGAGATTTTCCAAGAAAACTTGGAATTAACTGAAACACTGAACAAAGTGGTGGGGCAAAATATCAATATAAAAAAAAAAACACAAACCTCAGGCAACAATGTATATAAATTTTGCTATCAAATAAAAATTTTAAAAAACACAAATCAACCAAGGAAGTCCCATAACTCAGCAAGATTTATCTATATCACCAAAGAAAACTCTGGAGAAATAAAGAAAGCATTTACAATAGCTACCAGAAAGATAAAATACCTAGGAACAACCTTAAGTAGAGATGCAAAAGACTTTTATAAAGAAAACTCTGAAGAATTTCTGCAAGAAACCAAAAGACATCTGTTTAAATAGAAGAACACCCATACTTATGGATAAGAAAACGTAACATGAAAATGTTAATTTTATCTAAAGAGATCTAATGCAACACATGGTCACATTCAACCAATATTCCTTAAGTAGAAGGAAAAAACCGCTTATATTGTAAAGAAATCCCAGATAAGCAAAGTATCAAAAAAGAGTTAAAAGCTAATTTTCACACTTGTACCTTTCAAAGCCCACTGTAGACACAGTAATTCAGACAGCCCAATACTGGAGCAATGACAGACAGTCGAATGGAACAGAAATGAGATCCTAACAGTAAACCCATATATACTGGACAGTTGGTTTTTAACATAAGCATAAGGTCAAAATACATTAAATTATAAATAGATAGTCTCTATAACAAATTTGGAAAGGCAAGAGACCCTGAATAAACAAAACACTTCTGAGAAACAAAAATGAGGTTGGAGGTATAGCACTCCCTGACCTCAAAACCTACTACAAAGCAGTAGTAACCAAATCAGCATGGTACTGGTACAAAGACAGGCACATAGACCAATGGAACAGAATTGAGAACCCAGAAATAGACCCAATTATCTATAGTCAACTGATATTCAAAAAGGAAATCAAAGCTATCAAATGGGGAAATGAAAACCTCTTCAACAAATGGTGCTGGCAAAACTGGATTTCCACCTGCCGAAAGCTGAAACAGGATTCATATCTCACACCATACAAAAAAATCAACTCAAGGTAGATCAGAGAACTGTGAGCAAAGTCCAAAACTATAAAGTTCCTAAGAGACAAAATGGGATCAAGCTTTGAAGGCCTAGTCTATGCTAACAAGAGACTGCCAAATACAGCCAGAAATACACAACCTGAAGAGGATAAAATTGATGAATTGGACCTTCTAAAGATTTCATCCCTGTGTGTAGCAACAACTTTTTCCAAAAGAGTGAAAAGAAAACCTACCAGCAAACATTTGGTAATACCTTCTCAGACACGAACTTCACAATGAAAATTTACAGAATATTCCTGGGGCTCCACAAGAAAAAGACTGATAACCCAAATACAAAATGGGCAAAAGACATGGAAAGAATTTTCACAGAGGAAGATACTGGAATGGACAATAGACAAATGATGAAATGCTCCAAATCGCTGGCAGTAAGAGAGATGCAATGAGATAGCATTTCACTTCAGTAATAGTGGCTAAGCTTAATCGGACAGCAAGTAATACATGTTGGAAAGGATATGATGAGATATGAATTCTTATACATTGTTGGTGGGCTTGTAAAATGGTACAACCATTCTGGAAGGCAGTTTGGCACTTCCTCAAAAAGATGGACAGAGAAATTCCCTATGGCCCAGCCATTCCACTGCTTTGAATATACCCTGAGAAAATGAGAACTGAGACACAAATGGAAACCTGTACACCAATGTTCATAGCAGCATTACTCACTATAGCAAGAACATGGAAAACAGCTCAGATGTCCCAACCACAATTGAATGAACTGAGGAATTATAGTACATTTATACAACAGAATACTACATAGCATGCAGAAGCAATGATTTTGTTATTACCTAACTTGGAAAGGACTGGAGAGCATTATGCTGAGTGATCTCAGTCCTACAAGAACAAATATTGCATAAAACCATTATTGTAGAAAGAGGATGAGGATTCACGGGGGGGGGGGGGTGGGGGGGGTAGGGGGAGGGTGGAAGCAGAGGGATGAAGATGTGCAGCAGGAGTAGGGGATTAACCATGGAATTGTACACTTTGATGGGTGGGGTGAGGGAAATTGAAAAAATATGGTCTGAAAAACAATGCATTTCAATTTTGTAAGTAAACTAGTACAATAAAAACGAACAAATGGTACTGACAAAATGGATATTCATCACAGAAAAATTAAATAAGACCTATCTCTCATATATAAAAAATTAACTCAAAATGTATCCAAGACCTAAACGTAAAAACTTAATTAAAACTATAAAAATCACTAATGAGGGAGCTCTGGTGGCCTAGTGGCAAGAAGCTGCACTGCAATCCCAGAGACATGCAGTTTGAATCTACCAGATGCTCTGCTGGAAAAGGAGGGGCAATCTCCTCCTGTACCAGTCAAATCTGATTTGAGGGTGCACATAAATAAAATTAAAAAAAAAAAAAAGTAAAAAAATAAAATCACTACTTCAATAAATAAGGGCAAACTCAGACGCTTTGATTTAGGATTTATAGCATAAATAGACCACTAGACTACAACAATAGGTTTAAGTATTACAGAGGCTATAAGGCTGGTACAGGATTGGACAGGATTTCATTCTGTTGCACAAAGGGTCTCTATAAGTTGGAACTGACTTTAAGCATTAACAATGGCAACAAATATCACAAAAATTTACAAATGGTAGAAGATAAACTAGACATCTAAGGCCTACTAAAAATGAAATCTTTATGTGCATCAAAAGAGTGCTCTGAAAGAATAAAAAGAGAACCTACAGGTTGAGGGAAAATATTTGACAACAAACTTGTTAAGGGACTGATCCCTAAAATTTGCTGAAAATTTCAGTACCTTTACAAGAAAAAGACCATAACTTAAATAAAAAATACTGTAGGACATGAATAGACACCTAACCAAAGACATTCAGGTGGCCAACAAAGAGATATTTATAAATATTCTCTATCAATTATAAATGTTCTCAATAATTAGCCATTATTACACAGACAGTAATCACTGTATAGTATTTCCTTAAAAAAATTTGTGAATAGAAATACCAGTTGTTCCCACTAAGTTTATAACCTAAAGAAGTGTGAGCTGGGACACAAGCATAATATATACACACCAATGTTCACTGCCACCTTATTCATCACAGGAAAGAGAAGGAAATAATTAAGTGCTCATTAGTGGACAAATGGGTAAACTATGGGACAAACATGCAATGACATACTACGTAACACTAATGAACAATGAAGAGTGTGAGAAATAGCTCATAACATGGAGGGAACTGGAGGGCATTATGCTAAGTGAAGTAAGTCAATCACAAAAGGACAAATAATATATGAATCAACTAAAAAAGAAAGTTAACTTAAGGAAAAAAATAAGTTAATTTAAGAAAGAACTTAATGCTGTACAAAGCTGAGCTGTAAAGCACATCATTAAAAAAGTCCTATCATTTTGCTTTATTTACTAAAGGCTGAAAATTACTAATACAGAGGTAATTTATTTTTTTATTCAACTTAATACGTGTAAAGTTACTTCCTCCTTGTACTTTGTCACATATTATATATGTGAAAAATAGCACTGAATATCATTTCAAAATGAAACTGTTTTGACTAAAAAATATAAAACGCTAAATAAACACAAATACCTTAGCTGCATTGATGAAACATGTTTGTAATCGTCTCCCCAAAACCAGAAAATTTTCTGTAGCTGATGGAAGCAATTCACTGTAAAATTCCTCTGCATCTTCTCCTGGCTCCAAACCTACACAGCAATGACTGAAACAAGAGTGCAAAGTCTGTGACTTAATTTGTGTTTTTTTAAGTTTCACTTGAATGTTTAAGCTTAAATTGACACTGGGCTTGATGAGAATTTTCAGTACCTTTCTTTTATTGTGAAGCCACTATAAAGAACGCTTGTTGGAAAATCAGTTTAATAATTTTTTTAATAAAATTTTTATTTTATACAGCTTTACCTGTCAGTGTGGACATTGCTTATTTTTAGATCCAGGACTCAGATGTCCTACAAATCTAGTTTCCAACTCAACTCCTCAGGAAAGAAAAGTTATCTGGCTTACAATAAAGAAAAGGAAGATAAGTACTCAGTGAATAAGACAAAGTTATATAAATCTTGAAAGGGTAATTCATGGACAATATTTATGCTGTTATATTTTAAACAGTTCATAGTTGAAAAGTACAAATTAAAATTATCAAGGGACAGATTAGAAATTTAACATGCTAACTAAAACAATTTCTACTTTTCTGTACTTTTACTAAGGTCGCTGGGTAGTACACATGGCTTGGCCTAAATGTTGGCATTTCAAACCCAATGGCTGGCAGTTCAAATTCAACAAGCAGTGTTGGCAATAAAAGGACTCAAGATCTGCTTCTGTAATGATTACAGTCAAGAAAACTGAGGAGTCATTCCACTTTTTAACGTTCGGAATTATAAATTATAACTGTCTCAATGACAATGAGTTCAGTTTGGTTTTGGTAGAACTACTTCCAAAGACCTACAAAATACCTGCCTGGACATTTCTTACATTAGAAAGGAAAAGAGTGAAAACATAGCTCTAGAAGAAGCATTAACATAGAGAACACTAAAGCAAAGAAATAAAAAATACAAAACAAAACCAAACTCAAACAAAAATGCTCCAAATCCTCTGCCACTGTGTCAATATTGACTCATAGTGATATTCCCTTGAGTTTCTTAGTCTGTAAATCTTTATGGAAGGAAAACTACTCATCTTTCTCTTATGGAACAGCTGATAATTAGCAGTCAGCCTTTTAATTAGCAGTCCAATACATTATGCACAAGATCAATAGAACTCCTATTTCAAGAAATAGGGCTTCTCAAAACGACATATAAACTACATGCTATGACTACTTTTCCCAACCCAAGTCACCATCTGGCTATGAACTGAATAAATTCAGAAGTCTCAATAAATCCTCAATAAACTATTCAAGCTACTTAAGGAGACTATAACCAAATGGGCTTTAAGTATGTACTCTGATGAGGGAGGACTGCTCTTTCAGCCTTGTTAACAAAATGTGAACATATAGACAAACAGTATCATTGAGTTGATGAGTTAATTTGGATTTAGAGCAACTATGAATTGAGCATGCTAAAGCCTAATTGACTAATCATCATCTGTATCAAGGTATCTATTTTCCCCCCCTGCACTCTGGTTTCTACAGTTAATTATTCAAAAATATCTAATCCCAGAGCGCTTAACTGTGCTCATGTGGGACCTGAACCTGTACCAGGAAGCTGTTGTGCTAACAGAGTAGGAGAGAACTACATGGTTTGGAACTGGGAGGAGAGTGCACCAGGACACTCTATACCTATTTACTCTGTGTGCTGAATAAATTATTTGAGAAGCTGGACCCTATGAAAAGTGTGCCATCAGGACTGGAAGGAGACTCATCAATGACATAACTTAAAGTGAGGAGGACTTGAAGCACTTTGTGCAGAAGATCAAGGAATGCAGCCTTCAGTATGGATTGCATTTCAATGTCAAGAAAGCAAAGATTCTATCACTGGACCGATAAACATTGTCATGATGGATGGAGAAGAGATTGAAACTGTCAACAACTTCATGAACAGCTTAGATCCACAATTAATACCCTTGGTACCAGCAGTCAGGAAATAAGACGTATTGCACTGGGAAAGTCTGTATTTAGGACGTCTACAAATTATTGAGGAGTAATAATGTCAGTCTGAAGACTAATGTACATCTGATTCAGGCCATAATCTTTTTTTATTACTTGCTATGTAATCAAAGAGCTGGACAGTAAATAAGGATGACAGAAAAAGAAATGATGTCTTTGAGCTGTGGTTTTGGAGAAGGACAATAAACATTCCATGGACGACCAAGAGAATGAACAGATATGTCTTGCAGAGGATGCAGCCAGAGTGCTCTTTGGAAGCAAGAATGATGTTGCCTTACATACTTGGACATGTTGCTGGGGATTCTATTCCTTGGAGAAGAACATGATACTGGAAGGGTGGAGGGTTGGCAAAGAAGAGGAAGACCTTCAACCAGGTGAACTGACATAGTGACTGCTGCAATGGGCTATTGTGTTTCAGAAGTGTGAGGATGGTACAGGGTTCAAATCTTTTGTTCATAGGGTTTTATGAGTCGTACTTGACTCAATGGCATCTAATAACAATTTTGATAGAAAATAATAAATTAAATCATGTAGAGTATCTATCTGAAAAAGAATTAACAAATGAAATGATGTTTTTATATATACAAACATGGAGATCTCTTAAGTCTTGGATTTTACCCCAGAAAGAGAATCCTTTAATAATTCAAGCAAAGGGAGCTCTGGTGTCCTAGTGGCAAGAAGTTGCACTGAAATTTGAAGGCATGCAGTCCACCAAAAGGTCAGCTATGGGTTGGTTTTGACTCTATGGTACACAACAACAATTTAAGCAAATAAATTATCTTGAGAACAGAAACAACATTTTTGTTTTTTCACCGCCTTGTTTGACTGCAGATGAACTGATGTCTTTGAATTGTAGCGGTGAATAATACTAAATATACCATGGACAGCCAAAAGATGGAACAAATCTGTCTTAGAAGAAGTACTGCTCAGAAGTAAGGATGCTGCTTTCTACAAAGATGGCACCAGAAGCAAAGAAGGAAGCCCCTCCGTCTCCCAAAACTGAAGTCAAAGCAAAGGTGTTAAAGGCCAAGACGGCAGTCCTGAAGGGCATCCACAGCCAAAAAAAAGGGAAGATGTGCACGTCACCCACCTTCCGAAGGCCTAAGAGGCTGAGACTCCGAAGGCAGCCCAAATACCCCCAGAAGAACGCCCCCAGGAGAAACAAGCTTGACCACTATGCCATCATCAAATTTCCCCTGACCACTGAGTCAGCCATGAAGAAGACAGAACAACACACTTGTGTTCATTGTGGGTGTCAAGGCCAACAAGCACCAAATCAAACAAGCTGTAAAGAAGCTCTATGATATTGATGTGGCTAAGGTCAACACTTTGATTAGATCTGATGGAGAGAAGGCCTATGTTCGACTTGCTCTTGACTACGACGCTTTGGATGTTGCCAACAAAATTGGGATCATCTAAACTGAGTCCAGCTGGCTAACTTTAAATACAATTTTTTTTTTCCACAAAAAAAAAAAAGTAAGGATGCTGAGACTTTGTCTCCCATTGTTTGGACATACTGTCAGAAGGGATCCGTCCCTGGGAAAGGGTATCATGCTAAGGAAAGCAGAGTGAGTGAAAGAGAGGCAGAAGACTCTCAATAAGATGGGCTAATCATAACAATGGGTTTAATCACAGCAGAGACTGTGAGGATGCTGCAGAATTAGGCTGCATTTCAAATGGTTGTACACAGGGTCTTTATAATTGAAGTCAACTCAAAAGCATTTAAAATGATTATCACTAAATAACTCATAAATAACTTTGATTTGGCCTTTATTAGTGGTAACTGCAAAAATGGGCAAAGCAGAGACTGTAATGGTAGTTTTGATCTGCTGTAGGCGTTGCAATGCAAATTTGACAACAGCTAAAAACAAAAGTAACTTTGGACTCTCCACTGCCCCTGAATGTCATCATGATTGTGATTCATGGTGATATTCTATCAGATTTCTAATGTGACCTTTAACAAGAGAAAACATTCTCGTTTTCCCAAGTAGCAGGTCTATTTAAACCATTCACATTTCTGTTAGCAGTCCAACAGCTTGATAACAAATTTTTTTATTGTTGTTGTTATGTCCTATAGAGTTGCTTGCGACTCATAGCAACTCTATGTACAATAGCTCTGATCCTGATAATTTTCTCTGACACATCTATTCCCATTACCTCAGTCACTGAGTCAATCCATCTCATTCATGGTGTTCTTCTCTTATGCTGTCCTTCCAACCTCCCAAGCATGATGTCCTCTAGGATTTGTCCCTCTTGGCAACATGTCCAGAATAATGTTAGGTGCTGTCAAAGTGACTACGATTCATGGTGACCTCATGAACACCTGAACCTTGGCCTAACCGATACCATTCTCATCTCTGATACACTTGAGCCCACGGTTAGCTACTGTACTATTGTCATCTTGTTGAGAGTCTTCTTCAATTTCTTAGACAGTTCCCAACATAGTGTCTTTTTCCAGGTTCTGGATGCTTCTTACAACATGCTCAAATTATGAGACAGAATTTCAGTCTTTGTCATTAAGGAGCACCCTGATTACAGTTCCTCTAAGACAAGACTTGTTTTTTCTTTTGGTCATCCATGGGGTAGGGTATTCAGTACTCTTCTCCCATACCACAACTCAAAGACATAAATTCCTCTTCTGTCATTCATAGTCACTGCTGAGCTTTCAGATGCACAGCAAGTAATCAAAAAAGTCTTAAGTGAGATCAGGTGCACCTTAGTTTTTAAGTTGACATCACTGTTCTTCAGTACTCTGGAGAGGTTCCTGACAGATTTTTCCTAATTCAGTAAGTCTTTTGATTTCTTGACTGCTGGTGCCAAGGATGTTGATTTTATGGATCCATGTAAGATGAAATTGTTGGTAATGTCAATCTTTTCTACATCTATCATGTTAATGCCTACTGGCCTGGTGGTGAGAATTTTAGTTTACTTGATGCTGAGATGTAATCAATGTTGAATACCGACCAATACTGTGGTCTCTGATCTTCTGTAACAAGTGCTTCCAAGTCCTCCCTCACTTTCATCATCAAGGCTGTGTCATTTGCATAATGCACTTTGTTGCCTGATTCTGATGCCATATTCTTCCTACTAAAGACCAGATTCTCAAATGATTTGCTTAGCATATAGTTTGGATATATATGGAGAAAGGATACAGAATGGATGCACATCTTTCTTGATTTCAAATATATGGTGTTCCTGTGCTCTGTTCAGAAAACTGCCTCTTGGTCCAGGTCCAGGTTTCATATGTGCACAATTAAGTATTCCCAATTAATTAGCCTTAATTTGCAATTTGCATAGTCAAATGCCTTTGCATTTATTTGTCAATAAAACACCGAAAGATATCCTTCCAATATTCTTACTTTCAGCCAAGATTGATCTGACATAAGCAATGAGATCCACTATGCCACAGACAACCTCTTCTGCATTTAGCATGAATTTCTGGCAGTTCCCTGTCAGTGTACTGCCAAAGCCATTTTTAAATAATTTTTAGCAAGATTTTGTTTGCATATGATATTAATGATATTGTTTGACAGTTTCCAAATTCTGTTGTATCCCTTTTTTGTCAACATGAACAAATATGGATCTTTTCCAGGCAGTTGGCCAGACAGATGTTCTCCAGACAAAATTCAGGAACCCAGGAACCAATAAATACTGTAGCTATGTGCCACTGAGTCAGAACCAACTCCTAGTTGATATTCCAGAGGGTTTTCAAAGGCTAAGAACTGCATAGCAAGAAACTGTCTGTCTTTCTCCTGTGGAACAGCTAGGGGATTAAAACTGCATGCCTTTGGGTTGGCAGCACAACTCCTTATCCACTAGGCCAACAGAACTTGATCTAGAAAGTAATGATATACTTTTAATTATACTTTTAATTATCTCATTTATAATAAGGATGTGGGTTAGGCACTAAGAACATATGACTTATTTATTTAACTGTCTCATTTTCAAAATCTTTCATGATCTATTTTTTATTAATTTCTAGCACAGTACAATATCAAATTTTGCTTCTAAATTATATTGATAGTATTGACTAACAATGAAATACATAACTAAAAAATCTACATGAACAAAGTGAGATAAGTAGATTAGTAGTTAGTTCTTCTACAGAACATTGCTTATACCTTTTATTTTACCATCTTCTGCCTGGATTATACATTTACATGACTGCTAGACCATATCTATTATCAAGTTATCTAGTGTGTAGGGCCAGTGCCCTAATTTTCTGAATCATTTAAATACTCATGAAATAATTAATAAGTAACATATCAGGCATTGAGAATTAGCTGTGAGCAAATGAGTGTTCATTCTTTGCAGAGCTGATGAGACTTCAGACATTAATGAGATAATCACACAATTACAATTCAAAAATAATACTATGAAAAAAAAATAAAATAAAAAAAATAATATTATGAAGCAAAAGCACAACCAAAACTTAAACAGAGATTTCGAGAGCATATTATGTAGAAGAACAAGAGAAAGCAAATGCTGAAAATCAGGATCTCCTATTTTAGCAAACAACTTTCTTTCTTGCTTCAATTTACCTTAATATTTGTGTAAGTTGGGAAATTGTAGACCAACCACCCTGGATTCGAGAACAATCTTGACTGAGGACCAAGAGGCAATATTGAATAAGGTCATAGCAATATATATCTTGCTTGATTTTCTTCAACTCAGAGTTTCTTGTAGGTGTGCTATTTATTATTTCTAAGGAAAAAAGGAAATACTTTTGTTCAATAAATATAAAGGCTTTTTGTATTCTTTGTGTTGAACAGTAACTAAAACGTATTAAAACTAAAATTAATACCAGTGCTAAGATATCCCTAAACACATTAGAAAAAAATTCTAAAATTGTACACATGATAGAGTTGCTTAATTACTTAAAAAGATGAATATTCATAAAAGATTTTCTTACCTTTTAATTTCAACAGTATAACAGGGACATTCTGCTCAGGACTGTTTGCAACTTCAGCAGCTAAAGATAATATCCTTGGGTCCGTGCCAGTTGGCTTCATTTCTCATATCACCTACGGTTAAACAAAATCAGAGAATAAAAGTCAAATAGTTCTAAAGCTTCACTTGCTAAAGGACTGAAATATGGCTTCAATATAAATGCAAATGCAAATAAAGCTCTGTTTGTGAAGTATAATAGGTTTATCATTCAAAATGTCTCTTATCAGCTTTGACTTACACCAAACAGCTGGATGGAAACAGAAAATACTGTTGCTGTCTGTGTACCTTTGAGATGGCACCAACTCATAACTAACCCTCCAGCCAATTTCCAGAGGCAGTAAAACTGCCTACCAGTAGGCCACGAGAGGTCTCTATCACGTGTGTAAGAAACAGTATGTATAAGATTGGTCAGTTATTCTAATTGGGCTTAAATTGAGCAGGTTTAGCAAGAGAAGATGGGAATTTTAATACTAGCAAGCAAGTAGCAGCAGACAATGTAGTGTATGCCCTTCCAGGTCAGAGATTCCTGTGCCAGTCACACCAGGAACAACAGTCGCAGTGTAGTATATGAGACCAACATTAAGGCTGACCTGACTTTGAACTGTTGCCCCATGGAGCCAGAGCCAGTGACCTTACCGAAGCTAGCTAGAGGACTGGAGGGAAAGACACCATAACTGGCAAGTGTTATAACACTGACTTAAGCTGTGAGACTGAAGGTCAAATGGCCTGCAGGAATGCTTGAAAGGACTAAGGAATTATATAACCTGTTGCCAACCTAATTGTAACCCTTTAATTTCCCTAATAAATTTCATAACTGTAAGTATGATTCTGTGAAATATGTGTGGCTAGGGGAACTATGGTGGCCTAGTGACAAGAGGCTGCACTGCAATCCGAGGTGCACAGTTCAAATCTACCAGATGCTCTGCCGGGAAAGGAGGGACAATCTCCTCCTGTACCAGTCAGATCTGATTTGACGGTAGACACACACACACAAATAAAATAAAAATAAAAAATTGAAAAAAAAAATAAATTATGTGTGGCTAATGCAATGCATTTTAGAGCCAGCAGTAGAATACTGAGAATCACAGGAGTCATTGTTGGTGGTAAAATTAGTAGTAAATTCTGCTCTGTCTTGTGCCAACCTCACAGTCTCTGACAGACCCACCCATTATCCAAGATTGACTGACTGAATCAATCTTATCGTGGGTCTTCCTCTCCTGCACTGTTCCTCCACCCTCCCAAATATGATGTCCTTTTCCAAGGATTGGTCCCTCCTTGCAACATGTCCAAAGCATGTCAGACGAAGTTTCAGAATCCTTGCCTCCAACGAGCAGCCCAGTTTCACCCTCTCTAGGACAAACCTGTTTGTTCTCCTAGCAGTCCACTGTATATTCAACTCTTCTCTAGCACCACTGTTAATGGAGTTAGAAAACCTCAAAAGGGTGAGCATTACTGTACATCATAAATAATGTAACCAACATCACTAAGCTATAAAAGTAGAAAATATTGAATATTCATAAGAACAACTTGAAAGACTGTATTAAAATACATTAAAACCTGCCTGTTACTGGTAAATTCATTCTGACTTTATGTAATTTTAAGCAATGTGCAATTAATATCAGTGTGTCTTTATGTACTATGCTAATATTTTTATAAGGTGAATTCTCTGATGCTAGGTAGCTGGGTCAGATAATAAACATACTTCACACTTCAATCAGATTTTGCCAAATTCTTCCTCCTAGTAGTTTTCTAATCTGTATTCCACCAAGGTATATTCATTTTCTCACACTTTTGTGAAGACTTGCCATCTTTTATAGTTCTCCTAATCTGTGAGACGAACGCTGCCATTGTTATTTTAATCTGTATGTTTTTAGTAGGGATATTAGGCACACTTTCATGTTTACTGGCCACTTCTTCTTGTCTATATTTTCTATTAATTTCCTTTGACCAGTTTTCTATCAGTTGTTTTGTATTATTCTTTTGTAGCTTTTCATCCATGGAGATGCAAACTTATTATCAACCCTTTCTCCTGGTTGTCCATTACGTTCAATATGTCTATACAAGAGCTTAATATGGGTTATGTTTCATTAAAAAACAAAAATTGTTACCACTAGGCCAACAGGCTACATGGAAAAAGGACTGAAGTTTGTCAATATTTATACTTTATTGGATCCATTATCAAGATGCAATCAGTCAAGAAATCAAAAGACTCATTGCACTGGGAAAATCTACTGTTAAGCCGGTCTGTTTAAAGACTATGGTATACATGATCCAAGATACAGTATTTTCAATTGTTTCCTATACATCTGAAAATTGGACAATGAATAGAGACAACAGAAAAACAGAAAAAAATTTAAACTTTTGAATTGTGATATTGGAGAAGAGTATTAAATATTCTATGGGCTGTCAAAAGAATAGAAAAATTAGGTCTTAGAGGAGATGCAACCAGAGTATTCCTTAGGGGTAAAAATGGTTAAATTGTCTCATATAATAGCATGTTGTCAAGATAGGCCAGTACTTCCTCCAAGGAGAAACTTGGTTTCACCCTCTCCAAGAAAGATCTATTTGTTTTCTTGGCAGTCCATGGCACTTGGTAGCAGCGTTATATTTTGGTTCACCGCTAAATTTTCAGTAGCTAGCCTAATAAACTAGCATGTGGCAGGGGTTTAGTAAATATAGGTTGAAACAATGAGTACGTGCACAAAGCCTTGTAATTTCCTGATTCCCTACTTTTTACCCCAATATAATAGAAAACCTCATATTCCTCATTAGGTTTTCTGATATAAGATTAGTTTCAAACAAATCTCTTGCTCACTGTTTGACGTAGTAAAACATCACTAAAACATGATCATCACCAAACATCTGTGGTGGGACATTAAGTTAGAAGCAAAGGTTATTTTAAATAGTACTCTTGCTCATGTATTACTTGTTGTTGCTGTTGTTATGTGCCGTCGAGTCGCTTGCAGCTCATAGCGACCCTATGTACAACAGCCCTAAACTCCGCTCTGTCCTGTACCAATCACACTGTCTCTGACACTCCCATCCCAATTATCCCAGTCACTGAATCAATCCACCTTATAGAGGGCCTTCCTCTCCTGCGCTGTCCCTCCACCCTCCCAAGCATGATGTCCCTCTCTAAGGACCGGTCTCTCCTCACAACATGTCCAAAGTATGTCAGATGGAGCCTCAGAATCCTTGCCTCCAAGGAGCCCCCCGGTTTAACCCTTTCCAGGACAAATCTGTTTGTTTTCCTAGCAGTCCATGGTATTCTCAATACTCTTCTCCAGCACCACAGCTCAAAGGCATCAATTCTACTTCTATCCTCCTTGGTCATTGTCCAACTCTCTGATGCATAACAAGTGATTGTGAAGACCATAGCCTGTATCAGATGCACCTTAGTCTCCAGAGAGACACCATTGCTCTTCAGTACTTTGGAGAGGTCCCTAACAGCAGACTCTCCCATGGCAATGCGCCTTTTCACTTCCTGGCTGCTGGTGCCAAGACTGTTGACTGTGGAGCCAAGCAAACTAAAGCTGTGTACAATCTCAATCTCTTCACCATCCATCCTGATGCTGCCAATTGGTCCAGTGGTGAGAATCTTTGTCTTCCTGACATTGAGCCTCAATGTATTACTTAGGAAAGAAAAATCATCTATATGTGTATATACAGTAAGACATGTAAGTATATGTAAATATAGTTAAGTCACTCAGATAAAAAAAGATATAAGCGTGGAGTCAAGAGGGCTGCTATTCTCTGAACCAGTTTTGTTTGTTTGTTTAAAAGGAGCTGCACTGTCATCCCAAAGGTACACAGTTCAAACCTATAAGCTGCTCTGTGGTAGAAAGATGAGCAATCTCCTCCTGTGCAATTTACTGCCTCTGAAAAACTGCCAGAAGGTCAGCTATGAGTTGGTTCTGACTTGATAGCATAAAGTAACAACAGAACAATTAAGATGTAGAAAAGAATAGAGCTTCCAAGGACTGCCCTCAAATGTTACAACGGTAGAACTAGAGCTTGGTAACTATTTGCAGAGCTCTCCTCTTTTCCTCCATTTATCTAAATGCTTTCATATACAGGCATATGACATTTTCTTGCACTTTGCAAATAATTTTTATAAAAAGTGAAGGTCTATGACATCTTGTGTTAAGAAAAATCTTAGACTGACAGCAGCTCGATATGTTCAGAATCACAGAAATCCTGATGGCTTGAGACTTAGGCCATCACTTCAGGCAGGGGCTGATCAGTGGGAGACTGGGTGTTGAATGCTGTAGGCAAAAGTAGGAAGGGATGGTGGTGGTGTAAGGAAAGGGTGGATCAAAAAAACCCAACAAACCCCACACACACAAAAAAAACCCCAACAACAACAGGTAGCAGGGGTGGGCAGCAAAATTGAATCTATTGGTCATTTTTATAACTGGGCAAATGTCTTTCATCTGCTGTTTTCTGTGGAATGCGTGTCTGTCAGATACTAAGAAAAATCTGTTAGAGCTATTTTCCCCAACAATTTGTCCACACTTTGTCTATCACATTTTGCCAAATCTCACAATATTTCAAACTTTTTCATATGCTACTTAACAGACTATAAACACTTTTTCATATATCCTGGAAACCAAAGAGATTTATGTGACTTTCCTTTGCAAAGCCACCTTAGTTCAGTGTAACCTAACCTGGAAGAGTATCACAGACTGCATGAACTTATTTAATCCTTTTATAAACTCTAACACTTTCCCTTTCCCAAAAAATCCACACAAACCCACTAAATCCACTGACGCCTAAGTGAATTCCAACTCATAGCAATCCTATCAGAGCAGAATGTCCTACACGGTGTCTAAGGATGCAGTCTTTGCATAAGGAGACTTCCTTCTCTTTGTCCTAACTATTCGTTGGTGAGCTTCATCAAATAGACCAGTATGGAAGTAGAAGTATGGAGTTCATTTTACATCATTTCAGTGAAGAACATGCTCATGGCAACCATTTGCAGATGCTTCTCTTCCAAAACAATTCGATTCCAAAGCAATACTTCTCCCATCTTTCCCATTAAATTCATAAACCCTGAGAAAAGGCAAACCTTAGGCAATCACTTATCAATTGTAGGCGCTATTACCTGTTGCCAGAGCACAAGCTCCAACTTCAGCCTTGATAATATAGGATTCACGTCTCCCAAGTTGTACTTGATACCGCAACCACGGATCACTGGGAAGAAATGAAAAGGCGGCAACCCAATGAAGTCTAATTGCAAAAGACCCCAGGAGCCCTCAATTGCGAATTCTGAATTCTTCCCCCGCCCCCTCCCAAGTCCGCTCTCCCAGCTTTAGTTCCACCAGACACTCCTCTGGTACAGAAAGTTTTAAAAAGGATTGCCGAGGAAACGCCGCCTTCCCCTCCCACTGTAGGAAATAGGCTTTTGGAGTCTTCGGGCTCAGCTACTCGAAGCTCAAGTCCTGGCTCTGGCGCAAACAGGCTTGAGCCAGATATCAGGCCTTGTGCCAAGACGCAGCCCCAACCCGCAGCTTCTACCCAAATCTTCGGGAAAAGGTCCCTTTAACATTGAACAGAAAGGACGGAGCCGGGCCAGTTCTCCGTTAAGCGCTCCCATATTCCCAGTTCCGAGACCCAGGCTTCCCGTCTCCCAGAGTCTTTTCCTTCCCCAGCTCCCACCTTCGCCGCGGGTTAGTGCGCCTAACGTCCCGCTCGCACCTCAGGAGGCCGGCTTTCCCAGAGCCGCTCGCGCTGCGCAGCGGGAAGGGAATTGGAGGCGGGACCAAGCGCGGCGCTAGGGGGCGGGGGAAACCTAGCAAAACAGCCAATCACCAAGCGGCAGCTCCCGCTAAAGCGGGAACGTCGGAACGAAGGTGGAGGTTGGCGCTGCTGCGAAAGCTTATTGGAATCGTGCTGGTATCCTGTGCTGTTCGCCAAGACCGAAGCTAAGTCGGAGTTGGAGGATAACGACGAGAGGACATTTGCACATTGGCAATCGCGAGCGGGTTCATAAATTGAGCAAAAGTTTTGAGAAGCACGTGCCCTGTGAGCTGAGTGTCTCATCCCTGGGGATAGGCGGGGGAAGGAGGAACCTCCTAAGATCAAGGTATGGAGACACAAAACCCTTGGTTCTCTGTTCCAATGTCAAGTAAATAGGACTGACTCATGGTGACCCTATGAACAAAAGACTTGAGCCCTGCCCTATTTTGTACCATCCTCACACTCTCCCACACCCCCACGTCCATTGCTGCAGTCACTGTGTGGAGAATGAGAGAGGCCCAGCTGCCCTGCCTGGACTCCAAGTGGGTCAGTAGAAGGTGTATGTACCTACAGAAGATATGAAACTAACAGGCAGGAAAGTGAAAGTTTGTGAAAAAAACATGTTACAGGTGGTTGATGTTGAGAAGTGGAAAGAAAAATAAAGTGATGAAAGGGTGCAAAGGACTGGCCTTTTTTTTGATTTATGCAGGGAGAAGAGACTTCCTTGAGAGTGATGGGGAAAGAATTCTTTTTCTTGCCTCTGGTTGATAAAGGTAGTTATTAAGTTTCTTGGAAGAGAGTCGTACCATCTCTAAAATCTGTTTGAGACTTCTGATTTCATGTGGTCAATTATCAAACGTTGGCTATTAGAATAATAATGTGAAGTGTGTTAACATCTTTATTTGGAAGATACCTCCTTGTGGCTTCTACCTCCTGATTTTCTATGTGACTTAGGACTACTTTTAAAAATCAATCTCTTTTATATTGTTGAGGTAAAAAGGGAGCTCTTTCATTAAAAACGGCCTCGTTGGATTGAAGGTAACATGTGCAGAAAAGTGCTGGTGTAAACATATGTTCCAGCCACAGTGGGGAGAAAGCCTCAGCTGTGTCGACCAAGCTTGCTCAGGCTTGACCTGCTGCTAAGGAGAAGTCTGGCAGTGGCATGGCCCCCAGACGAATCAAGGCCATGGATCTGTAAGGACTGGACAGTTCCTCCCTGCCTAAGGGAGGATGACTATCATGTCATCAGCATAGAGAGATAATTTTACCTCCTCGTTGCCTATTTGGATACCTTTCATTCCCTTCTCTTGTCTTATTGCTATTGCTAAGACTTCCAAAACAATATTGAATAAAAGAGGTGATAGTGGGCATCCTTGCCTAGTTCCTGTTCTCAAGGGGAATGCCTCTCCATTAATCTCTCTCCATTGAGAACAATGTTGGCTTTTCGGATTTGTATATATACTTTTTTACTATGTTGAAGAAATTCCCCTGTAATCCTATTTTGTTGAGTGTTTTAATCAGGAAAGGATGCTGGATTTTGTCAAAGGCCTTTTCTACATCAATTGATAGGATCATGTGGTTCTTGTTCTTTGCTTTGTTAAAGTGATGAATTACATTGATTGTTTTTCTTATGTTGAACCATCTTTGAATACCTGTTATGAATCCCACTTGGTCATGATGAATTATTTTTTTAAAAAAACTCTCCCGACAACCCCTATGCACTGTTGGTGGGAATGTAAAATGGTGCAACCACTTTGGAAAGCTGTATGGAAAGCTTTCTCAAAAGGTTGCAAATAGAAATACCATTTGACCCAGAAATTCTACTTCTGGGAATTTACCCTAAAGAAACCCTAACCGCCACTCAAGCAGATATATGCACCCCTATGTTTATTGTGACTTTGTTCACAATAGCAAAGAGCTGGAAACAACCTAAGTGCCCATCAACAAATGGATAGAGAAGCTCCGGTTTAGTCACACAATGGAATACTCTGCAGCACTGAAAAAGAAGGAACCCATGAAATATGCCAAGTGGATGACCCTAGAGGACATTATGCTAAGTGAAATATCTCAGTCACAAAGGACAAACATTGCATAGGGCCACTATTTTAAAACAGGACTGACATTGGAGTTGAGGGAAGACAGAGAAGAAGGGGAGGAATGATGTATACTGCATTGCAACAGATGAGGGAGAGAACTGTTTAAAAGGGATATATGATTAGGTATTATTGTCATGACAAGAGTCCAGAATGACAGTGCAGTGGAGTTTTCTTTTACTTCTCAAGGAGAAAAGTGAATTGGGGAGAGGGGGTGGGCAGGGAGAAAAGTGCAACAATGAATGACTGGAAACCCTAAGTCTCTGTAAACTTTTATTAAAATAAAAAAAGTAAATGTGTGTGTGTGTGTGTGTGTGGTGTGTGTGTGTGTGTGTGTGTACAGACAGACATCATTGCTCTTTAGCACTTTAGAGAGGTCCCTGACTATAGATTTCACCAGTATAATTTGTCTTTTGATCTGTTGACTGCTGGTGCCAAGAGTGTTGATTGTGGACCTGAGCAAGCTGAAATTGTTAACCTCAACCTGGCATTGCTCAATTTATTGGTGAGACCAGCCAATCCTCTTACAGATTGGTGAGACTGGCCAATCTTCCTGTGGATTGATGGGATAGCCAATCCCCTTGTGGACAGGCTAACACATTCTATTTGTGTATTCCCAACTATCCACATGGTCGAGTCAGATTAGATAGCTAAGAAAGTCATATTGAAAGATAAACTCCACAGATACAGAAGAAACCTTTAATGAACAGATCTCAAATGTTATAGCAGTAGAACTAGACCTATGTAACTACTTGCAGAGCTCTTACTCTCATTCATGTATTTAAATGTTTTTATAGACAGGCAGGCATATTCAATTTCCTTGCACTTTACATTTTTATTTTTTCTTTTACAAAGTGAAGGTCTGTGACAATTCTGTATTAAGAAAGTCTATTTAGAGCCATTTCCCAACAATTTCTTCTCACTTTATATCTCTATGTCTAATTTTGGCAATTCTCACAAAATTTCAAATTTTTTCATGTGCTAGTTGACATAACATCAACATCAACACAGTGTGTGGTAGTTTGATGAAATAGATCAATCTGGATACGGAAGAAGTATGGAATTAATTTTATAGAAATTACAGTTAAGAACCCACTAATGGTTTTAACCATTTGTAGGCTCTTCTAATAGATTTTTGTTCCAAAGCAACACTTCACCTGTCTTTACCCTTAAATCCATAAACTCTGACAGAAAACAAACATTGGGGCAATCATTTATCAATTATAGATGCTATTACCCTGTTGCCAGAGCACCAGCACCAGCCTCAGCTGTGATCCTCCAGGATTCATGCCTTCCCAGTCTTTGTATCTGCTACTGCAACCACGGATCACTGGGAATAAAACGTAAGAAAAGACAAGAAAAACGAAAGGAAAAGAAAAGGAAAAAAAAAAAGACCGCTCAATGTATTCTAGTTGTAAATGATTGTGGATGAAGGTACTTGGCTATTCTGAATGTTCTCCCCACCCCCACCCCCTTTCCACTTCTCTTCCAAGTTTGACCAAGGCATTCCTCTAGTACAGAAAGCTTTGAGTATTGCTAAGGTAGAGGCCCTTTCTTCCACTTAGATGGATTCGCGATTCAAGTTTCCCAGGGTCCTGAGGTACTCAGAGTTCTAGTTCTGGATCTGGGACTATCTGTCCTTGAACAAGATTCCAGTCCTTGTGCACAGATGCCAGATGCAGCCCCTTCCTGGACTTTCGTTTTCAAACAAATCTTCAGCAAAAGGTCCCTTTAACATTGAGCAGAAAGGGCTGAGATGGCCCAGCTCTCCCTCAAGAGCTCCCACATACCCAGTCACTAGACCCTGGACAGCAGGAGCCCAAGCTTCCCACAACCAAGGGTCACCTCCTTCCTAGCTATCACCATAGGTCAGTTCTCTCATCTTCCTTAAGTGTTTCTGTGCCTAAAGCCCTGCTCCCACCATTGAGCCTTCCTCCAGTAGCTTCCATTGTGCAACTGGAAGGGATATTAAGACAGGTCCAGGCTCCACCCTCCAAGGGGCGGGGCCGTATTAGTCAGGCAACCAATCAATAAACGAGAATACCCGGCAGGGCGGGAACACAGGACACAGAGAGGGGTCTGGATTTAAAAACAAATTGTCCGAGGTACTGCGCGTAGGAAGTAGTGCACGGTCAGAAGCAAAGTCAGAGTGAGAGGATAATGATGAACGGACACTTGAACTTCGGCAATCGTGAACGAGTTCTCAACTTGGGCAGAAGTTTCGAGAAGGAGCCACGTTGCGCCTTCCACACTGTGCGCTGTGAGTGAGTCTTAGCTCCGGATGGGGGTATGCGGGTGTTGGTTGTAGGCGTGGGTGGGAAGTGTGCCATAGATGTGTAGAGGCACAAACCCGTCAGTGCTCTGTTTCCACAATTTGCTTTAATATGGAGAATGAGAGAGGTCCAGCTGCCTTACCTGGGCTCCTAGGGAGTCAGAAGAAGGAGTAGGAGCTTTGCAGGTGCTGGTAAAACCACAAAACTATATGAGACCAACAGGCAGGAAGGTGAAACGTTATGAAGAACCAGATGTGACAGGTGGTGATGCAGAAGTGGAAAGAAAAGTGACAGAAGAGTGTAAAGGACTGAGCTACTTATTTTGGATTATGCAAGGAGAAGGGACTTCTTTGAAGTATTCTTTATTTTTTCTTGCCTCTGGCTGATGAGGGTATTGTTTCTTGAAAAGATTCTTACCATTCTCCCCGACCCCCCCCCTCCAAAATTCTGTCTCTTTGGGGCTTCTGATTTTATTAGGTCAATTATCAAATGTGGGTTATCAGCATATTAATGTTAAGTTCGTTGGCATCTTCACTTGGATATTTACCTCCTTGAGACTACGTTCCTTTTGTTTTTCTATATGACCTGAACCTATTTTTAAACATCAATCTCTTTTGTGTTGCTGAGGTAAAAATGATGTTGTTTTGTTTTGGTACTTGTCTGATGTAGAATGCAGAAAGGAATATTAAGTATTATCATCCTATATGTAAAAATTCATATATATATATATATCTCAAATTAATTTTAGAACAGGAAAGTCATTGAATCATGACTTCTGTTTTTTCTATTGCAAAGTAGATTGATTTTCACTTCCTTTTTCCATCTCTGACCGTTTCCTCAGTCACTCTGTGCATGCACACTGCTTTTGGTTCTCTAGAGACCTTTATGATTTTCCCACCTGAAGTATTCCTAGTGTAAGCAAAATGTCTACCTAAAACTCGGTGTCTCCAAATTTCACTTAAATTGTAACTATTATAACTTAATTTTTTAGAAGAAATGTGTTTATTCAAAGTCTTATAAAATGTATTTTAAAAAAAATTTTATACTGGTTTACTTACAAAGTTCATATACATTGCTTTTCACGCTGGATTTTTTTAAGAGGAATTAGCATCTAATTGCTAGAGTAAAAGGCAGTGGTATGTATGACAGATGTTCAGTCATGCCCTTGTTTGGGCTTTTTTTGCCGAACTCTAATGCCCCTTACAAAGAACAGCTACTGCTAGCTGCGTAGGTTCTCTTCTTTAGTCCTTTTTTTGTTGTTATGTGCCATCGAGTCACCTGCAACTCATAGAGAAACTGTATACAAATGCTCTCAACTCTGCTCTATCCTGAGCCAGTCTCACTGACTCCAACATATCTACCTACTCCCATTACCCAAGTTACTGAGTCAGTCCATCTCATCCAGGGTCTTCCTCTCTTGCACTGTCCCTCCTTCTCCAAGGACTGGTCTCTCCTAGCCACATGCCCAAAGTATGTGAGAAGAGCTTCAAAAATTCTTGCCTCTAAGGAGCAACCAGTTTGACTCTCTCCAGGTCATCCCTGGTTGTTCTCTTAGCAGTCCATTGTATGTATAATACCCTTCTTTATCACCACAACTCAAAGGCATCCATTTTCCTATAATCCTTAGTCATTGTCCAGTTCTCTGATGCATAGAAAGTAATTATGAAGACCATGGTTTGGATCAGGTGCACCATAGTCTCTAGACTGACATCGTTGCTCTTCAGTACAGTGGGTGGAGAAGTCCCTGACAGCATATTTTCCCAATGCAATTAGTATTTTCATTTCCTGACTGTTGGTGCCAAGATGTTGATTGTGGAACCAAGCAAACTGAGGCTATTAACTATCTCAATCTCTTCTCTGTCTATCATGATGCTGTCAACTGGCTCTGTGGTGAGATTGTTTTCTTGATGTTGCACCTCAACCATATTGAAGACTCCAGTCCTTGACTTCCTGCAGCAAATGCCACAGGTCATACTCAGTTTCAGCAAGCAAGGTTGTATCATCTGCATAATGCAGATTGTTGATGAGTCCTCAATCCTGATGCCATACTCTTCCTAGGCAACCTGTTTGTTCTAGCAGTTCATGATATATTCAATACTCTTCTCCAGCACAACAGTCCAAAGGCATTGATTCTTCTATCAACTCTAGTCATTGTCAAGGTCTCCAGTGCATAACAAGTAATTGAGAAGAATAAGGTCTGGATCAGGCACACTTTATTGTCTATGCTGGCATTGTTGTTCTTGAGCACTCTGAAGAGATCCCTAACAGCAGACTTTTCCAAGGCAACTCATCTTTTTTTTTTTAATTGTTATTACATTCTATTAGTTTTAATGAACATTTACAGGAATTTTGGGTTTTCATTCATTCATTGCTGCACCATTCTCTCT